TGCCTTGGCGGGGGCTCCTCTGTAAGTAAGTGTCCAGGTCTGTGGCTTCCCACGACAGCCGGTTCTACGTACCGGAATGACTCGGGTTTTACCCGACCAAGGGCTGTTGTTTCGGCGATCTAACCCCGTTTAGGTCGGCGAAGTATCTCAGAAGTGGTTCGTCCATAGGACTACATTTGCTACGTATTCTTCTGCTCAGGGCTGGCATCGAGTCAAACCCAGAGCCAGAAAATTACACCTGCTGTGTATGCCAGAGACGACTACACCACAACTCCCCCTCAGTCAAGTGCATTGCTTGCGCCGGGTGGAGTCACCTCGGAGTCTGCTCAGGGCTACGGACTCATCGGCAGTGGACCACGTCATTTGTGGCCCCCGGCTGCTCAAACAGAGCAGCCTTCACGGCTAACCCCAGTCCACCTGAGCAGCTCAACACAAACACCACAGCACCACAACACAACAACACAATAGACTACACCACAACCACGACAGACCACACAAACGCACCACCATCCACACGCCGCCGCCAACAACTCCTGGTTCCTCCCACAATCTGCACAGTATGTGCAACATCTGCCTTTGCTGGTGCCACTTTAGGGCATGTTCAGGTCTGTGCACCACGCGAGATTGGACGAGGAACTTCGAGGGCCCGTGTTGCTCTGCACCACCACAGGGCGGCATCCTCCACAGCAGCGCACACAGCCAATGGTGGCAGGGCAACACACATCCCTCACACCACGCACAACAACACGTCTCCCGAACCACATGAAGCTCCTTCAATTCAACTGTAATGGACTTCAGAGCAAAATCCAGGAGATAACAGTCTTCATGGGAAGGCGTGGTATATTGATAGCTGCGGTCCAAGAGACGAAGTTGCACAGCAACTCAACGTTTTGCGAACCAGCTGACCCCAGCGAAGCATCAGCCGGGTTTCCCTAAAGTGCACAGCACAACAACAGCACTTAACGCCATAAACACTCATATAACACGTAGCCTAAATCGCAACCGCCCCTGTGAGAGAACTTTTTTAGTAGCGTTGGACCTGTCAAAGGGGTTCCCCAGGGTGGTGTCCTTTCCGCATTCCTATTTAACTATTATATTTCCAAGCTCCCTCCACCACCAGAGGGAGTCTTGATTGTCTATTACGCTGAATATTGTTCGATAATGGCGTCTAAGAATGCAATTGATGAGTTGTGTACGAAAGTAAACGGATATCTCTCCAAGCTGTATTGCTTCTTCACTGCTAGGAGCCTAACCCTCTCCCCTACAAAATCCTCTGCGACCTTGTCCACCTCCTGGACGAAGGAGGTCAGACTACCGCTGGGAATTCACGTCGATGATACACCAATCCCAACGGTGAAAAACCCCAAAATGCTGGGAGTAATCTTCGACAGTCTGCTCTCCTTCTCTGCGCACGCAACCGCTATTGTCAACAAAGTCCAGAGCCGCAACAAGGGCTTCAACTCGCTAGCCGGAAGTACGTTGCAATTGGCCGGCCGGTTTTAAATTACGCAGCACCAGTGTGGTCGCTGGGGACTGGGGGAAAACACTGCACTTCGGACAGCGACTGGATGCCTTCTGATGTCGCCAGAACACCACCTGCACAACGAGGCGAAAATGCTCCCCATAAAGGAGCACAACACAATGCTCTACAAGCAGTTTTTAGTTGGGAGCCACAGACGTGGTCACCCAAATAGACAACTGCTTGCGGAAGAGCCCTCGCCCAGGCACGTCAGGAGGCATCTCTATGAACTGACGGACGAAGTCTAAAGGTTAAGTAAACAACCTCTGGACCCGTCAGCTCATCGACAGGCCCTGAGCGGCACTCACAGGGAGTCAGTATCGAGTTATGTAGACACCAGACCTGTGAATGCCGTTCTAGGCGCACAACCACCGGACATCGCCGAGACAGAGCTTCATCTGCCTGGGAAGGCTAGAACCACAATAGCCCAACTTCGCTCTGGCTACTGCAGCAGGTTAATCTCATACCTGAGCAGATTAGGCGCAAATGTGCCAAATGAGCGTCGAGCATGCGGAGAGACACCCCACGACTCGAAACATCTCTTCGTATGCCCGGAAAACACGAGAATGCTACCGCGTCTGTCCCTGTGGTCCGACCCGATTGTGTCTGCACGCTTGATAGGGCTTCCGTTAGTTGAGCTGAGACTGAGATATTAACCGGTCTGGGCGGGGTTGTTGTAGGCGCTACAACAACAACCTTTGATGACTTGTGCTCGAAAGCAAACGGTTACCTCTCCGAACTTCTTCGCTCGCTTCTTCAATGCAAGGAGCCTAACCTTCTCCCCATGAAATCCTCGGCAACCCTTTTTACCACCTGGACGAAGGAGGTCCGACTACAGCTGGGTCTATGACAAAGAAGTGTTGTTGACAACATACGAGGCAATGGCCTGTTTCAAACTATGCAGCGCCCATGTGGTCGCCGAGGACTAGCAGAACGTATTGGACGAAGCTACAGACATGCCAGAACACGGCACTCCAGACAGAAAATGGATGCCTTCTGATGTCGCCACAGCACCACCTTCACGACGAGGCTCAAATGCTCCCAGTGAGGGAGCCAATGAGTGCCCGGAACTCGGAGAGAGAGGAGCCAATAATTGAGGGACAAACCGATATAGGCAGGGTTGAGTAGCCACTACAACAACAACAATAACATAGTTGATTATGTTGTGAAACATGGTAACAAAGACGAGAAATTAGTAGCATGCTATAAATTGGTGAAAAGGGATGCCAATATGGATTCACTAATGTATGTAAACTTCAAGCTTGGTGTTTGTGGTGAAGATTACAAGAAAGTGATGAAGACTGAGTTATGACCAGCTAAGGTGAAAAATGGTGCCATGAACCTGTGAGTGGCCAGAAGTGATTCTTGTGCGTTCGGTTCAAATCGCAGCTCACAACGTCCGGATATTTATATCCACGTATCCTCTGGGTAGCGACCAAGCACCACTTTGGGAGCGAGCTAAAGTGAGAAGGCGTAAAACCTCGCGTGCGGGTTTGGGTCACGCCAAGTTAAAACCACGCCCAATGAAAAATTCAAACATGCCCCGGATGAGACCCCCTTGTTTTGATGACGACCACGGCAAACGTCAGTGCATTCCGTTTTTTTTTCAAAAGGGCGGGAAACAACCGCAGCAAAATAAGTTGGCCCATTGTATATGCTCCCATCCTCAGCTTATAAAAGTTTTTATAAGTTTATCGAGTTATCACTGCTTATCGAATTTTATCGTGTTAACATAGTGTAACGACATATCGAAATTTTTCGATAGCTTTCGAAAAATGTGGAGCTGTCAAAATTAAAAATTCATAAAGATGTACACATTTTTGAATTATCGAGCCCTCGAATTCCACAGTTATCGAAATTAGTCGAGTTATCGAATTTTGTTTAGTTGTCTGATTATTAGGGCTCGGATTCATATGCAAATGCATGTTTTTTTTTTGGGCATGTTAAAATCGATATAGTGAAGTTATCTTTACGAATCACGAAATTTCCTTTAACATGACATTCAATCGTCAATGCATATTATTGCATATTTCGCAGTAAATGCATTATGTTGCAAAAAATACCTGTTTTTGCATATTTATTGCACCTAATTTAGTATATTTTACAACAAATGCATGTGGTTTTTAACCGACTTCCAAAAAAGGAGGAGGTTATCAGTTCGTCGGAATATTTTTTTTTTTTTTTTTTATGTATGTTACCGCATAACTTTGGACCACGTCAACCGATTTCGATAATTTGCATCGGAAAGGTAGTGTCTCAGAGGTGGTCCCATACTAATCTGGTTGAGATCCGATCAGTGGATCATGAGATATATATATATATATATATATATTTTTTTATATGGGAGTTGAAGTCGGTTTTTTTTTTGCTAAAAATTACTTGTTGCGTATAAATTATTTACAACCATTTAAATTTGGTGCGAAATCTCTTGCAAAAAAATCCATATAATTTTTTCTTAAGTATTCATCACCAAACAAAACAAACAACAAAATTAAACAAAATTCGCTCAGACTTACTGCAAGAAGGTAAAGACGCCGCATCAGTATACACTATCCGTAATAAGCTTAGAGCAAGCGGTAAGCATGGGCGGGTAGCACGCAAAATCCCTTATGTTAGCCATGTTAATATGAAAAAGAGGATGAATTTTTACGTGGAGCATGTCCTGAAGCCCAAAGAGTTTTGGTATAATGTCTTATGGACCGATGAGTCGATGATACGACTCAAGTATTCACGACGCATTGTCCTATAAGTGTACGGTTCCTACCGTTAAGGCAGTAGACAAAGGTTTATTGGTGTGGGGATGTCTCTGTGCTCAAGGTACGGGCGACATAATCGTTTTGGAAGGAAAAGTTAATGCAGATGTCTATATAAAGATCCTAGAGGAGACGGCTATCCCCGAAGGGAAACGACTAATTGGTGACCATTTTGTATTCCAGCAAGACAATGCACCTATTCGCACCGCAAAACAGGTTGTGGAATATCTCTCCAAGGAAAACATTACTATTTTAAAATGGCCACCGCAAAGTCCTGACCTCTCTCCAATAGAGAACGCTTGGGCAATACTTAAAATTCGTATTGCTGAAGCAGCGCCTCAAAACTTGCGACAGTTGAGAGAGTGCATAATTTCAAATTGGAAAAATATTAATCCAGAGGAATGTCGTAAGCTTGTAGACATCATGCCCAGATCGACTTGCAAAAATGTGGATATTAACTAAGTTGGAAACTTCATTTAGGTTATTACACTTGCTTCCAGTGAACGGTCCTTCTTAAGCATAAATCGAAGTTACGAAGTAAAACTGGTTAAAAAAGATTAAATGGTTTAGCTTTACTTAATATCCACAGAGATATAGAAGTTACTAACAAGGAAACATTGAATGCAATTTTTTCTTTTAAAATAAAAAATAAATATTATAAAACCTGCGTTCGCCCCTAATAAACACACATACAATGTACATACATATATGTATATGTAAATTCATATTTATTCAGGTTAGAGACTTTACATATTTACAATTACTACATACATGAAACTTATTTCCTAATCATAATAAGTACATAGTACATACATACATAATACATATTATGCATGCATGTATGTATATAACTATGTATGTATGTATGTATGAAAGAGCATTCGGCACTTTTGGAAAAATTCACAAGCGTGCTCCGTTTACTGGGAAGGGGCGGGCGATTCTCTTCAGAAAGCCAATATTGCCGAAATGCTAAAGTTATTACGCTTCGCCTTTTGTGATTCCGTTCCAACTTCGTTGCGAGGTCTGGTTGCTTCGGACAATATCACAGCCGAATCGGCAACATTTCGCCCCTCATTTAAATGTGGTGCCTCTGTGGTGGACGCCTCCGTTGCATGCGTTGTAGGGGGGAAAGTTGTTGCGACCTGAGGTAAATGCGCTAAGAAATGTGAGCGTGGCAAATGTGTGTCTGGATAAGGCTGATGTGGCAGCGGAATCAGCAAAGATTGCATTCCATTTACTCTTCCGACAACGGCAGGATTGACGTGAGCCGTGGCGGCGAAACAAGTGGCTGCCGCAATATCTAGTGGCGAAGGACTTAAAAGCTGCGGCTGCATATACTCGCGCTGGTACATTGCCATCGCCGAGTAGATAGTAGCTTCGTCATGGTAAGGTGAGCGAGTTCCACAGCTATGCCAGTTGGAATAACTTTCGTCATCGCTCGATTCAATTGAGCGACAACGTTTTGTTGTTGGCGAATCCATTTGACCACTTGTCACGCTGATGCGGTCATCTTCGAGGCTGGCAAGTGAGCTCTTACTGGGACTAGGCGGACTGTCGCCCACTTCCTGTTCATCACCACTCAACGCACTTAGCTTACGTTTGCAGCGCGATTGACCTGTTTCGCGAAATCCTTTAGCGAATGGGTTGTTGTCAATCTTCAATTTTGTAATACGATCATTCTGAAGAGAAAAAAACAAAAACAAAAACAAATAACACCAGTTAGCCGAAATGTGACACTGTTTATGAACATACATACATATGTAAATATGTATGGATATACGCATGTATGAATGTACATTAGGGTGGCTGCTATTTTGCAAAATAAAGTTTATAAAGTAAAACTCAACATCCTGTAAAAAATAACGAAGGAAATTGTATCGAAAATAAAAAAAGGTATTTTTCGCTTATGTTTTATTGAGTTATTTTCACTATGTACGTTATATTTAGTTCGCGGTAAGAAATAAACTGGGATTTTCTTAAAGCTAATTTTCTACAGTTTACGAGAATTTTTTTAACATTTATTTTCTATTGGAAAATATTATTGAAAAGGTTATATTGGATAACGTTAGGGCATGTCTTGAGTCAATCATTCTGTCAAATCTACTTGAGTTTCTAGGATATGTTATTAAAATTAAAATTTAACGAGGTCAAATTTTATAGTTAAAGCCCTTTTGAGTATTTGAAAAAATATATATGTATGTATTTGGTCCAAAACGATGCATATATTCCCACTGTGCGGTTTGGCGACACTGAGAGGCAGCAAGATCTTTTTGGCCGTCTAATAATTGTCCTGACGGAAGCGTGTACATGTACAAACATATGCGCACATGGACTCACCTTTGGAGACTCAAAGCAAACCAATGGCGTCAAGTTTGTCGCCTCGATTCGCTGCTAGGGGTCTGTTTCAATGCCAAGTGCTTGTCGGACTCAAGTGGATCACAGCCAGTGGCAATATAGTGCAGCACGTACGTACATATGTACGTATACTTATGTATGTATGTATTGCAAGTAGTATGACCACGAATTTTAAGAGATCATTGGCGTACTGTCTGCGTCAAATATGTATAGACAAAAACAAATACATACATATGTATGTAAATATGTACATATAGACAATCTACGCACTTAGGCACTGTGGGCCCCTGCTGCGGCATTGTCTCCAATATATGTACAGATGTATGCATTTTCATTTGTATATATGTATGAATGGAATAATTCAAAATCTCCCAGGATAAGGGATTACAATTTAAATTGATATGGAAGACATACAAACCTGATAGGCAGTTACTGCTACGAACTCCGTCTCTGGAAAAACGAAAGCCTTCTGCGGGGCCCAAGGTAGCTGCGTGAGGTCCGAGGTGCGAATGATATGCAGACGAGGTTGATATTTATGCATACTGGCGAGCACAATCTGCGTAAGCAAATGAACGGGTTTTTTCATAAGGGGAATCGGTACATTTAAGTACATACGTATATATGTATGTATGTATGTGTGTGCATTAGGATGGCCCTTAGTTATATGGAGAAAAATAAAAGTGTTTGGAATCTCGGTCTCACCCCCTAGAAATGTGTGAATAGCCTAAAGACTAAACTATGCAAAGTTTTAGGTCAATCAGACAAGACTTAGAGGTGGCTCAAAGCGCTAAAAGTTTCCAATGTATTTTATATGGCGAAATAACTATTTTTCGTAGAAATTGTATAGAATCCTTGAAAAGCAATATTTTT